GCGATGGTATATTAGCAGCGAATGTATCAAATCGAAGTTATCAATAAAAATTCGAGGATTCTTTTTTTACACTTGCTTTGCATTATATACGTCCTATTGCTAAGGCAGGGAGGCCAAAAAACTCGATAGAAGTCAAAAGCTTAAATCAGGCGCAGCCACCTGATCAAATCCAGGCCCTCAGCTAGGCATGACAATGTAAGTTGACTAGGGATGAGTTTAAGTCCAATCAGATTGGCAGGTTGGTGCAGAGTAGAAACACTCTTAGATCTCAAGGGGACTTTGAATAACTTTACTGAGGAACCGAACTCTTTGAAAAAGGGCCGAGCAAGGGCCAAGACTTCAAAGAGACTTAAAATTTTTCCTAAGTATAAAAAGGTTTCTGTTGAGGAACTGAGCTCTTTGAAAAAGGGCTGAGCAAGGGACAAGAATTCAAAGAGACTTGAAATTTTTCGTCAGTATAAAAAAGTTCCTGTTGTGGAACCGAACTCTTTGAAAAAGGGCCGAGCAAGGGCCAAAACTTCAAAGGGACTTGAAATTTTTTTCAAGTATAGCCCTTTGAAGAAAGGCCGAGTAGGGCCATAACTTCAAGTGTGACTGAAATTCTACTAAGTATAAAAATAAGTTTTTGCTCAAACGTTCTAAGAAATGAAAAAGAGAGATGATAAAATTCGATTCTCATTCTCGATTAAACTTCAAAAAGTACAAGATCTTATAACAGATACATCAGAAATTGCAGGAACATCAGAAAGTTCAAAAAGTCTTCTAAGTGTCTAAAGGGGCTGGAGGATGAGAGGAGCTCGGAGCTGAATATCTTGAAAAGAGTTCGGACGTAGAAGGGACCCCTGCAACAACTAGGGCAGCATGCCATCCCTTGCTAAAGAAAGCATCTTGAAGTTGAGGGATTTGCAAAGCAAGGTCATTTTCCGCTTTCTCAACTCCTTCATCGTAAGCTGCCTCTTCTTTCTATTTAGCCTTAGCCTTGTATTGATCAAATTCTTCAAGGAGGGTGGAATAGTCAAGTTGGGATTGAGAAAGTTCTACGTTGACTTCGTGCTCGGACTCCTTCAACTTCTCAACATTTGAAGAAAGCTTCTGGTTCTCCTTGATTAGACTTTGGTTTTGAGCCTACAGAACCTTCACTTCTTTGTAGATTTTTGCATACTCCTCATCCACACTCTCCTTCTTGGCCAGAGCCAAAGCTCTGGCGTGAATGACATCTTTCATAGCCTTATCTTTACGAGATATTCGAGCTCCGACCTCCTGGAATTTTTGCAAACCCTTAAAATTATGAAGAAGGTAGACTTAAAATTTTTTTTTAAGAAAGAGTAAAAAGTTTAAAGGAAGTCAGAATCAAGACTTACCAGGACCATATGTTGAATTGCTTGATGAGACACTTCATCGTCAGTAAGAGCCTTATTCATTGCTAGATCCCGAGGCAAAATCACTCCTCAGACAATTTCCACTAGAACATTAAAATTTTCTATTGTAGAGTCCTTGGCAGTTATTTTCCTCTTTTTGGCTCTAAGGATTGGTCATAAGGGAGGATTGGAAGACTCGGGGTGGAAGACTCTCTTCTGACTCGACTGTCCTCTGCCTTTTCGAGGCAGGGTTCTCGACAAGTTCAAAAATTGAGTCATCTTCAGGTATGGGAGAAAAGACAAAATCTGGAGGATCAAGCTCAACTGGAATTAAAGTTTCAATTGGCCAAGCCATATCTGCTTGGCTAATGGTCGGTGGATTAGCATTGTTAAGAAGAGGAATTCTAGTTGGAACCTCAAAAATGGGTTCCTCAAGAACAAAAATCGGAATCACTGGAGTAGTTTGAGTTTGCTTGGTGGAAAGGGTCGATTCGACAGTTGATAGGAAGTCAAGAAAATTTTTTATCGTCCTGCGCCCAGATGCTGCAACAGGAGACTTCTTCTTGGCTCGAGGAGTCTGAGCCCGAGCAAACTGGATCTCTTCCCGATCTGTAGCCAAAGTGGCGTTGGGTCGGTTCGACATAGAAATGAAGGAAGTGTAAGTTGGAGTGTACCCGAGCAGCGTGTAGGTGGCTTGGAAGAATAAAGTCTCGTTGAAATTCTAAACTTTTTGAAGTTAGTCCATCTTTACAAAGGACTCAACAATCCTTCCCTCCATAGTTTCACCTGTGTAGAAGAAAACTAAAGTCAGGAAAATGGAAAATCAAAGTTAAAATAGAAGGCAAAGGATATCAAATACCTGACATGCCTTCTTCGTAGGGACAACGATAGGATGGTGTGACACCAGGAGCGTATTCCCAGTTGCTAGAGACAAACACCACATCATTCTCATGACCCTTGTTTGAATCTGGAAGGTGGGTTACAAAATACCTCTCCTTCTTCCTCAGCAAGAGGTAGTAGCTATCTCCGGCGGCCTTGATAATGTAGCAGTACAAAATCTCCCACAATCCAAGACTCAAACCCAGAATCTTGTTCAAAGAAGACACCCCTATGATGATCCGAAAAAAGTTAAGGCAGCATTGGAGAGGGCAAAGTTTTGCAGCAAAGAGAACCTAAAGAAGAAAAGGATCAAGAGGAAAATGAATCCCATCTTCGGTGATGGCACGAGTAGGGATGAGGATGTGCCAATTAGGGGTTCATCCTTCCCAGTAACCCTAACCTCAACATTGGCTGGGATGTTGTACTTGATTTTGAAGGCAGGAACTTCAGAGGGAGTAAGAGGGGCCATTGAGGAAGACGAAGTTCAGAGAAAGAAAAACGCAGAAAAGAAAGGATAAGAGTCTGAGAGTCTGGAAGTAGAAAAGCGAAGTGAGTAGAATACGAAGAAATATGGTTTATAAGGAGGGAAGAATTTTAAAGGGCAACATTTAAATGCCCTGAATGTGTTGCCAAAATGAAAAGGCATGTTACAAAGTACAAGTGATGATGATGAAAAGATAAGAAAATGGCTGACAGACAAAAAACGTCTGTCCGACGTTATCTGAGGACAAATGAAGGGGTTAGCCCTGATCATCACACATGTAATGACATTAAATGAAACCCACGTGAGGTTGACAAGACATATCACGTGACAGAAAAATCATTCACACAGCCCTATAAACTGAGCCGTGTTGATCGATAGGTTCGGTAAAGAAAGAAAGAGTTCGATTCTCTTTATAACCGAGCTCATCAATCTAATTCAGCTAAGTAAGGAAAGAGCTCGGCTTGTACCAAGTTGAGTCCGTTAAAATGTTCTGCAAGATGATTGAAGAGGTCAGTTTGTGCCAAACCAAGTCCTTTAATTTGTTCGGCAAATATCGAGTGTGCTCGACATCTGATATGTCTGAACTATTTTAAATGATAGATGGAAAGATAAAAATTCGCCTGTAACTTAGGCAATCAGATAAACGAATAAGAGAAATTGAACATATCAGGAGAAAATAATGGAGAAATATCAACAACTTCCCAAACCAAATCACTGAATTGAAGGAAGGTGTGCCACATTGAATCAAAAATCACAGAAACCCTAAGGGGATGACCATCTATAAAAAATGGAGGAATACAAGGTGAAAGGTATGCTGAACTCTCTTGGTCTTCTTCCATTCGTTTCATTATCTTTATTGACTTAAGCATCAGAGTACCTTCGATCGAAGCACTTCGATCTTGGGCAGTTTGTTCGTTTTGTAGGAAGAGGAAGACTGAGAGATCAAATTCAGAAACACATCAATATTTCGATTCCAGTAGGCGGTATTCTCGATTTTTTGCCTCTTACAAAAATCATGGAAATAAATAGAAATCTCGAGTTCGAATCTTGACAATTTTTTAGGGCTAGGCCACGAGAAATTTAACCTCATGAATACCCTAGTCCCGACGTAAATGTTTTGTCTTTGATCGGATTGAGGAGAGTATTAATCGAGGTACATATAAGTTGATTCTTACACGTTTGACCATTTAAAAAAAAAGAAAGAAATAGAAATGAATTCTTCTAAAACACCATTCATCTTTGCTGAGATAACATAAATCTCTCAATTGCCAATAGTTTTGACCAGAATGCCAATTTAGAATAAATTTGATTCACATTTTTGATAGCTTGCTAACAACATTATACAAGAATGCTTCCCAGATTATATTTTCACTAGTAATTGATGATGCACAAAAGTAGATTTATGTACAATCAACAGTCGAGTGTAACAAAAGGCAAAGAATGCATGGTTGGGCTGAGGTGACCAGACCACTGAAGGCGGTGACAGTGGTCAGAGAACTTTATTAATAAAGTAAAATGTGTGTGTGAGAGAGAGAGAGCAAAGGTAAGCTCTAGAAGAGGTTGGGTAGCTATGAGAGAGATATCTGTGTAAATGGTGTGTAAAGAGATGTCCCTCTCATGTGGAGAGAACTTACAATTTTAGTTGAGGTGATGACGTGATGGGTAGGTTACTAACTTTTCAAGGAGGACAACTACAACTTGGATATGTACAAACTTTTTGGGGAGGACCACTACAATTAGGATATGTACAATTAAAGATAGCGTTGATATCTGAGAGTAGCTACCCCCGTTATTACTCCCCACGTGCGTTAATCCTTCTAGGCTCCTTGAACTTTGGACTGAGCCGAATCTATGAGTCGGAATTGACTTACTTTGTAGCTAATTTGATCTTAATTAATTGGGTTTGACCCAGTTGGATCTAGGCTCATCATTTGCCCCCATGCCCTAAGCCCTTGTGATGACAAGAGATTGAGGGCATGAGTGAGCCTCCTTACTTAGGTAGACAAGTATCTTGTGCCCCACGACCCATCCTCTCATCTGTCTGCACTTACACAACTTCTTCATTTTTGATGGCTGAACAACCCCATATTGGTACCCAAATCTATTTGCTCGACATTCAGTCCCCTTTATTGAGTTTCCCTTCAGCTGAATAACCCTATTCCACCTAGGGCAATTTGTTGGACAACATATATAACACCCCATGGCTACTTATCCTTCCTTATTTTCACTTATTCCAACCCTTATAGACTGCAGAGAGAAAGCTCACGAGGAAGGTAACTATGGGGAAGAAAGAGGAATTGTCGAAGATGATTGAAACCCTAGGCACCACGTCAATGACAAAGGCAAGGTTTGCGGCTGCTATGGCAAGGCTTGGAGAAGCCCTAGGCGATGCCATGGCAAAGCCAACCAAGTGCGAAACTTGTGATTCCATCAGAAGTGGAGGCGACGACGACCAACGCGAGGGAGACAGGGGCGACATCTTTAAAAGGCTGAGTATGGACGCACGAGAGCTATTGGGCGGGGCCATCTGGCTAGGCAGCGCCTGTTACACCGAAGGCGACGCTTGTTGTGTTGAAGGCGGCAGTGGAGTGGGCTAGAGCATTGAAGACACCCATGGCGTTGGGATTGAGGGATAAGATCCAGGTGAGGAGGGCGACGCTGTGGGTAGCATGGGCATTGGCATTTGTAGCGTGCACAATGCAAATAGAGATGCTGAAGGCTCCGATGGAGGGCTGGGCAACTTCCTGAGTGGCGAAGAAGATGGGCTTCTGGGCAAAGGCAAGAGATGAGAAAGAGAGGAGGGCAACGTTGGGCTGGGCGGCGCTAGCCAAGGGCTGGGTGACGTCAGCCAGGCACGGGGCTACGACGAGCGTAGGCCAGACAGATGCAATCCAGGCAACAGGCTGGATGACGTGCGCCGCAGGCCAGATAGCCCTGCAGGCTGGCCGACGGCGGTCGCAAGGTAGGCAGTGCCAGCGAGTTGGGCATAAGAACTCGTGAAGGTGAAAGGCGGCCACTTGAATTTCTTGCTTTTGCATCTGCTTGATATTGAGATTTTCCTGACCTCAGCTTTAATTTTGACAGGTGCTCGATTTGGTAGGGGCACTATGGTAGATGATACAAAGGCTTTGCACCAAGGAGTTGCCGAGGGCAATGGGTTGAAAGTACCTTATATATTTAGCTCCATAGATTGTGATGATGACATTACTCGCATTGTATTTTCGTACCGTATTCCTAGTGCTATTATGTGTCGCCAGGCCGAGGGGGACAAGTTGATGTTTTATGATTTTTTAGGAGAGATCATCTTTTACGAGGACGTCCTAGAGGCGGGGGGTTAAGGTTTTCCATACCCGGACTTATCTGTCGGATTCTGGGACACCTATCGTTGGCTCTAGGGAGGTTGACTCCCAACTGTTGGAGGGTGATTCTGACATTCTTTTCATTATGACAGTTGATCCATGGCGCTGATGTTTCACCCCCTTTTGAGGAGTTTTTGACCTCATACATACTTTTAGATAACCCTTCTCCTCATCAAGGGTGGTATCGCTTTACCCCGAGGTCAGACAAGTTTATTATAGGCTTACCTTCGAATTGCCACAGTTGGAAGTCTAGGTTCTTCTTCGTTGGAGGTTAGTGGGCCGCTGAGGAAGATCATGACTTAGTGCCTTCAACGTGGGACACTGTTCTGAGAACCCAACTAGGTAAGAATTTCACCTTTGCTTTAATGTCTAGTCATCATGTCCCTGTACTTATTGCATGTTTGGTTTCTTTAAAGCTTCCCCCACGTTATCTCTAGATTAGGAGAGTAGGCTTCAAGTCGTGCGGGATCATCATTTCAAAGAGTTTTCGTCCATCATGTTTGCATCGGGTCGTCCTACAGCCTCCCCTAGGTAAAAGAGGAAAGGTATTTGATCTTCCAATATACTTTTGATGGTTGTGATTGTAGGCTCTTCTTCTCACACCAATTCCACAGGCCCTACTATTAATAGAATGATGGTAAAGGCTCTTTATGCTTCCAAGGTAGCATCTTCCCTTCATCCCAAAAGGTCGAAGGTCGATGCCCCCAGTGCCTCTCAGCGGTCCGACATAAATTTTATATCCCAGGAGGCTGGATTAGAGGGTGCCCCTGCTCCTTCTCAGCACACAACTCCTTTGAGTGTTGGGGTTAGTCCAACTACTACCTCAGGGGCTGAGACTTCTATGCAGCCGTCTACCGGGTCTAGAGTTCCACTTAGTCGTCCGACTTCTAGTAGTGATTCAATGTCCATACTGCGGAATGTGAATCTGACCAAGGAACAACTTTGGGAGTTTGTGACCACAACGGATATTAGAGAGGTTGGCTCTCATGGTCCAGAGGGCATCATTAACACTACTATGATGAAGGGCTTTGCTATGGTATGTCTTTTATTCACCTTTGACTTTGTACCCGTTTTTTCCCCTCATGTCCTACTTTTTGCATGCTTATAGGTGGCTGCTATTTTTTCTTGTGTTTCTTCAAGGACGATGAAGCGTGGAGAAGCATTCAGAGATCTGGTAACAGAGAGGCAGACACGAAAGGCTGTTGAGGAGCAGTTAGGGTTCGAGAGACATGCATGAGAGGCTACCGAGGAACAATTGAGGATAGTCTAATGAGAGAGCAGCACCCCTTGAGACCGAGCTTCTGGCGTCCCGTGAGAGTACCGCCCAGCTGAAGGCTGATAGAGAGGCTGCTTGCGTCAGAGCAGAGACTGACCTTCGAGTAACTCTTGTGAAAGCTACCAGGGCAAAGGCTCACTCCATTGAGATGGAGAAGAGGAGAGACACTGCTGAGAGGGTTGTTGTTGGCGTCTTTATTGATGGTTATGAGAAACTTAAGGGGAATGTCTCAGCAGCTTTTCCTACCTTTGACTTTCTAGCTTCGTCCCATACGAGGCACTAGAGACTGATGGTGATGAAGAGAGCTTTGATAAGAGCGAATCGAGGAACAGTGAGTGATGTTAGGAATATGACACTTTTATCTACATGTTTCTCTTTTTGTCGCTAGGCCGTGTTCTATCTTTTGTAATTCGTTTATGAGCTTTATAGAATGAGAGACAGTTTTGGAAAAAGACAATCTTGCAAAATTTTATTTCATAATTTGAGATAGATAATAACAAAAATTGACTAAAACAACAAAAGATAGTTTAAATAATGGCCATTGACTTGTGCACCCACTAACTTGCCCCCAGCTATTGGTAATATCTCTTCAGGTGCTTTGCGATCTATGGATGGGCCAGGGCTTTTTCTTTGCGATCTATGGATGGGCCAGAGTTTTTTCCTCAAAGTTCTGAATTTTGTAAGTGCCTAGTCTTACAACTTCTATGACCATGTAGGGGTCCTTCCTAGTTTGGGCCTACCTTCCCTTCCCGAGAGTCCTTGGCAGATAGGATGACCTTTTTGAGGACGAGGTCCCCAAGCAAGAAGGCGTGATGCTTCACCTTCGAGTTGTAGTACTTGGTCATACGACGCTTGTACTCTGCATTCCTAAGCATAGTCATCTCCCTCTCCTGAACAGAAGGCAAAGAATGAGTGGGTGAGCCGAAGTGACCAAACCACTGAAGGCGGCGATTATGGCTGGAGAACTTAATTAATAAAGTAAAAGGTGTGTGTGAGAGAGAGAAAATGTAAGCTATAGAAGAGGTTGAGTAGATATAAAAAAGATAGTTGTGTAAAGGGTGTGCAGAGAGATGTTCCTCTCATGTGGAGAGGGCTTACAATTTATAGGCACAGAGCCTTAGTTAAGGCGGTGACGTGATGGGTAGGTTACTAGCTTTTCGGGGAGGACAGCTACAACTAGGATAGGTACAATTAAAGATAGTGTTGATCTCTAAAAGTGGTTATCCCGGTAATTACTCTCCACGTGTGCTAATCCTTCTGGACTCCTTGAACTTTGAACTGGGTCAAATTCATGAGTTGGACTTAAGCTACTTTGTAGCTAATTTGGGTTTACTCAATTAACTGGGTCTGACCCAATTAGAGCCGGGCTCATTAGTAATAATTTTGTGTTTGAAGACCTTTAAAATATTAAAAATTGAGCATTAATTATACAATATTTATATTTTAAATAATATATTTATATTTTTAATTAAATAATTTAAAATTAAAATGTACAAAAAAAAATAAGAAAGAGATAAGAGAGAAAGAGGAAGATGTGTAGATTAGGAGAGTTGTTTAGAATTAGAGTGTATTAATAGAGTTGTTTGATATTGAGAACTATGTAATGAAGATAATATTTTTGAGCGATTTTTTTTTTTTGGAATAACTTTATACCATTAGATCAAAGTAGATAACAACTGGATCAATCCTAACCGTTGTACTTTTATAAATTAAAAATTCAATTTTTTAGTTGTAATATTAGATAAATTTTTTTATGCATGACATCTATACTGATAAGATAGAATTGATTTTAAATTCTTAAGTTTGCCTATCACATGAGTTATTGAGATTCACTCAATCCAATGATCCAAAATCACCCCCAAATTTTTTTTCCCCCAAACTTAAAATCCCAATCCATATATTTTCACGGGAACTAATGTCTAACTAACTCTTCTTTCTCTATTACGGACGCTGAATAATTTATTTTTTGATTGTAGGATTCTACGGAAGACATGTTAAATTTTAATCTTAATTTCCGATACATGTTATTTTTTAATTCTCAATTTGGTATTAAACCAGGCAATTTCTAGTTCCGTGATAAGTGAAATGAAATGGAGATATATTTTTTCATACTTGAAGAGAATTAGTAAAAATCGTCAACACTTCAACATTTGTCTCTTCAAACCAATAAAGGAATAAATTCAGGAGGTTGAACTTAATTGAAAACAAGAATAAAAATGGTTACAATTTCTTTCCCAAATGTTGGGTTTGATCTATGGTCCTTAGATTAGCAGAAAATTGTGGAATTCACATGAAATAATACATAAATTATCCAACAGAAACGCAAGGCTTCAATTCAAATCTTCAGTACAGATTTTATGCAAAACAAACTCATCTAAACAATCCCAACATATATACATAAAATTAGGTGCCCAATAAATATGCACTCGGCACATAATCAAAATGAAGCAGCATGAAGATGACGAACTTGATACAAAATTCTTCAATTATATTTATACCTTTTTCGTGTGGAAAAGTTTACTATTCCTGATAGAATGACCTTAAAAAAAGGTCAACGTGTGGTTACAAATACAAATAAAATGTTTTGCAACAGGTTAACAATTGCATTATTGAGACAAAACATGCAGCCATCAATATAAGCCGTTGACCAGAGTTTAGATAGGGGCGGTCACTCACATATCTGGTGCGAGAGTTGTATCCACTCTAATACTGGTGTATAAGTTTCTTGTATGCATTCTCATTTTCTGAGTAGTATTTGATCTCTGCCTGCAAAACAAGGAAAAAAGCTCATGTTCCAGATTTGTACATTGGGAAGAAATTTGTTTCAGATAAAAACTTCATAAAAGCCTTTCTTCATGGTTTCATATCACGCTTTCTTTGGGTTTCTCCACTGCCACCTTTTATCATAAGACAAATAAAAAACAAAGCATGCTTGAAGCAATAAAGCCCACTAGAAACTTTGATGCCCTATTTGGGTTAGGGAGTGTCAATCACTTTTGCCTCCTTAGGTAAGGTGATACTCACTATAAGGCTTCTGTTCTCCAGAAAAAGCACCTCAACTCCGAGAATTTAGATTATTTAAATCAATAAGTTCAGGATATGGAAGTCACTTGCCCTATTTTCCTGTTATTATGTGGTTATACATTAATAAGAGTAGCAAGAAAGTTGGCAAGTCGGTGCAGAAACATAACTGGGAGGAACTTTGAGATAGTTTATTTTGGGGCAAGACTTTGTTGAGTTGAGTACTTCCTCATTGATTTAACCAGAGAACATAATGGATAAACATTTGATACATACCTTACGAACCCCTTTTATAGCAATCAAAAGCTTTTCGCCAATCAAATCCTTCAGTATAGTGTCTTTCTCAAGAGCTTCCACAGATTCAGAAAGGGACTTTGGCAACCTTTCCAGTTCTACACCAAGGCTATCAGGATTTGCATCTGCTTATGGAAAAATCATTACAATATTAAAATTCAATGTAACCATGGAACTGCATCATGCAGAATCAAGCATTCTGAAAATGAAACATCGATTTCTTTGTACTTGTTCTTCTTTGAATGGTATGCAGTCATCAGGGATAATAGTAAGCGAGCTTATTATAGTTTATGGTTAATTTTAGTTTAGCCCTTTCCAATAGAGTGTGGTTAAGACTCTTGGTTTGATTCAGTTACACACACCACTTTAGAAGGGTTTTAGCATTTTTCCATGTTCTCGGGCAACACAGTACAATTTGTTCCACCGTAAATATAACTTCAGCAAGTGTCGGGAAAAAAAAAAACTTGAACAAATTGTATCAGCACCCTTGCCAACATATTTCATATAATCCCCAAGAAAAAAGCCTATTGAATCTCGTTGAACCCCAGAGGTTTTTATCCTTTCAGTCTTGTTATAGGTTATAGCTTCTTTTAAGTTTTTCTCCATTATCTATTTGACAGTAGTTTGTAGATTCTCACTGTTAATATTTATCAATGAAAGAGGAAAAAAAATATTCATTCAGAGTAACCAGAGTATTACAGACTAATTGAGAAGATAAACTAATATATACTAGGGCAAAACATAATAACGTAAATGACTAATCTACCCCTAAAGCTAATACACTGAATTACTCTAACATTTCCCCTCAAACTCATGATGTGATAGCATCCAACATCAAGAGTTTGCCAAGGAGAAAACGAAAACGCACTATAGTGTGAGATTTGGTGAAGAAATCTGCCAACTGCATTGTTGAAAGAAGATATGAGAGAGAGATCGTGCCCAGTTGAGTTGTTGTTGGATTGTTGGGTTGTTGGATTGTTGCTGTTATTGCTATTTTCTGTTTTATTTTGGCTAACTAATCCCAAAATCCAGTCATAACACTAGAAATATTTATAAGTGAATGGGATACTCAAACTAAGAGTAGAGCCCCGTATATATAGTCAAATAATAATACAAAGTGACCTAAACATCCTTGTGGTCTAGGCAAAATATAAAGTCATAATAAGGGTTAAAAAGGAAAAAGAAACCCTAATAAACTAGACTATACTCCAACACTCTCCCTCAAGGTAGGCGCAAAAATATCAACTAAGTCAAGCTTGACAACGGAGTCCCGGAGAATGGATAGAATGACAGGTTTGGTGAAAACATCCGCTACCTGATCACTGGTCCCCACAAACAATGGAGTGATAATACCACTGCGAACTTTCTCCCAAAAAAAGTGAACATTGATCTCTATATACTTCGTCCTCTCGTGTAATACAGAATCAGAAGCGAGCTGAATAGCATATCGATTATTACAATATAATGTAGATGAAGAAGTCATTGAAAATCCCAACTCTCCAAGAATCGATCGTAGCCAGATAATCTCACATGTGCCAAGCGCCAGTGCTCGATACTCTGCCTCTGCTAACGAACGAGAGACAACTGCCTGCTTCTTGCTATTCTAAGAGATAAGATGAGTCCCTCGAAAAGTACAGAAGCCCGTAGTAGATTGACCGTCGCATGCTCCCCCATAATCTGAATCTGAAAAAATAGGCTAGAGAGCCAGTCTGAGATACTGATGCATAAAACAACCCAAGTCCAGGACAAGACTTGAGGTACCGAAGAATGTGATGAAATGCATCAAGATGAGGCTGACACGGTTTGTGCATGAACTGACTAACTCGACTGACAGCAAATGAAATGTTTGACCTAGTGTTGGCTAGGTAGATAAGTCTACCTACCAATCTCTGATAAACAGTCGGATCACTCAACTCTTCATCGTCAGCAGTAAGCTTTAGGTTTGAAATTATGGGTGATGATGCCAGTTTGCACCCCAACATCCCAGTGTCTAAGAGAAGATCTAGAATATACTTTTTCTGAGAAAGAACAATACCCCTGCTGCTACGAGCAACCTCAATCCCAAGAAAGTATCCCAGAAATCCAAGGTCCTTCACATCGAAGGCCTTTCCAAGGTCTATTTTGACTTGCACAGCCCTAGAAACATCATCTCCCGTAATAATAATATCATCGACATATACCAAAAGGATGACACACTGTCCAAAAGTATTCCGTCGAATGAAGCAAGTATGATCAGAATGACATCTGGTGAATCCTAAATGTATAACTACATCACTAAAGCGAGAGAACCAGGTTCGTGGTGACTGTTTTAGTCCATAGAGAGACTTATGTAGTCGACATACCTTTTCCAGCATACTCTCCCTCACCACGAAAGCTCAGTGGTGGATCCATATAAATAATATCGTCCAGATTACCATGAAGAAATGCATTTTTCACATCCAACTGATGAAGAGGCCAAGCGTACTCCGCAGCTAGAGAAATAATCAATCGAACAGTAGTCAATTTTGCCACAAGGGCAAAGGTAGAACCAAAATCACGACCCGGTACCTGACTAAAGCCCTCGCCACAAGCCTAGCTATGTGACGATCAATAGTACCATTAGCAAAAAACTTCAGGTGTGTAAACCCAGCGATAGCCAACAGGCTTCACCCTTGAAGGTAAAGAGACAAGATTCCATGTATGATTACGCTGAAGAGCGTCCATCTCCGTTTGCATGGCAAGAACCCACTAGGGCTTCCGCATAGCCTCTGAAATAGAGCGAGGAACTAGCGTATCTGATAAGGCCATACTATAAGCTCAAAATGTAGGAGAAAGATCACCATAAGAAACATAAGTAGAGATCGGATATAAAGTCCTGACGGTCTAACTATAACGGACAACTGGACGGCGATCACGCCGCGGATAATGACGCCCTAAATCATCAGCCTCCATTGACAATGTCTTATCAGGGAAAGTAACTGGCTCAGTACCTGCAATCTCATCAGTACTAACAACAGGTGCATCAATATGCTCCGCGAACTGATAAGTATTACCTGCATCGCTTGAGGTAGAAGGGACATCAGTAGGGGGATGAGAGCGAGGGCGATAAACATAAACCTGCAAAAGAAGAGAGACTGGTGACTCTGTACTGATAAGGACGAGTGGCTTTGGTGGAGCAAAGACTGATGACTTTGTAGTGATAATGACCAATGGCTCTGGCTCCTGTGGTAACAGAAAATCAAAGGAAGTATCATCAACTGGAAGTGCAAACACAGGAGTGGAAGAAAAATAAGGAATGTGCTCAAGAAAGGTAACATTTAGACTGTGATACATATGGCGCCTGATAGGATCATAACACCTATATCCCTTAGACTGATGACAATAGCCCACACAAATACAACGAATCGCTTTATTATCAAGCTTTATGGCGAGTAGGAGACCGATACTGAACAAAACATGTGCAGCCAAAAACACGAGGGGGGGACCAGAAAAAATGTCCACTTAGGGAATAAGACTTATAAGGGAGCCCTATGCTGAAGAGCATGACTCGGTGTACGATTACACAAAAAGGTAGAAATTAAAATAGTAAAATGCCAATAAAATTTTGGTACCTCATACCTTTAAGCATACAACGTACCATCCCTATTAGACTCCTATTTTTCCTTTTAGCAACTCCATTTTGCTCAGGAGTATATGGACAAGTGAGCTGCTGAAAGATACCTTGAGAAAAAAGGTGAGACACTAAGGCATCGAACACATATTCTTTGGCATTATCCGAACGAAGAGCACAAATAATGATATCAAATTGTGTCTTAATCATCTAGAGAAACTGAGTGATGACAAGGAGTACATCAGACTTCCTATGCAAAAGGTAGACCCCAAATACAACGGGTATGATCATTTATAAATGTCACATAGTATCGAGCACCTGACAGAGTAGTAACAGGAGAGGGGCCCCAAATATCAGAGTGTATTAGGTCATATGGCTTGGGTGACTGGTGCATGAAAAAAATATAACTGGTCCGAACATGTTTCGATAGGGAATATATAACACAGTCAAGTTTACCACCAACACAAACATTGCTCAAAGTAGGAAATAACATACATAAATATTTAAAATTTGTATGCCCAAAACGATTATGCCACAACTGAACAGTTTGTGATGAAAAATCATAACGACAAGTACTAGGCAAAATATTAGCATGCAAACTAGGAACAGATAAAGACAAAGCATGTGCAGGTGATCGAGGTGGAGGAACTGGTGAAACTGGAGGTAGATCGCCTAGATAATACAATCCATCTCTCTCATATCCCCTGATAATAATCCTCTTGGTACTTAGGTCCTGCAAATAACATGAATCAGAAAAAAACACAACCGCACAGTGAAAATCTCTAGCTAACTGATGTACGGATAATAAATTCATGGCCAATTTTGGCGCATGAAAAATTGAGTGTAATGTAAAGCCATCTGGGAGGCGAACTGTACCCCTACTAATAATAGGGGAATGTGTCCCATTTGCTAGCTGAATTTGTGTATATAACTGCTCGTCAAAAGTGGTGAAGTGCTGGGCCTCACCTGTCATATGACCATTCGCACTCAAGTCTAACATCCAAAGGGAGACGAATTGGCGCAAGCATGAAAGGCACGAGGTATACCTATAGTGGTGACAGTAGCAGTAGTTGGACCCTGAGAAGTTAGGGCGGACATAAGTATATCCAATCGGAAAATGATAGCATTCATATCACTCTGCCAAGGAGGAGCAGTTGCAGGAACAGCGGTAGTAGGTGGTGATACCTCAACAATAGTAGTAGTACGGCTGCGAGGAGGCGACTTAAGCTCTGGATAGAGGTTCCAGCAAGTAGCCCTGAGATGGCCTGGTTGGCCACAATAATCACACTGACGAGAACTAGGAAGCCCTGAGATGTCTTGGTCGGCCACAATAATCACACTGACGAGAAACAGGAGGTACATTCCAGGTGGAAGTACTAACAGCAGAAGTCTCAACAGTAGTAGCCATAGCAATAATAATACGTGGGCACCCGTGACAGAACAAAAACTAACTCTAAGATAAATAGAGGGATAAAATAAGGGAGAACAACAGTAGTAGCCATTGGGTAGTGTGTCGGTGGGGGTTTGTGCTGGTTTGCTAGTGGAGTCGGTTGGTTTTGTCAGTTTGATGGTAGTATGGATTGAGGTGAGGCAGTTTGGCTACTGGTTTTGCGGCTTGCTTGGTATTACTATCGTTTATTGTTATCGATTTTTCTCGATTTTTTTTTTGTCGGTTTGATGTGAAGTTTCAACGTCGTTTTGTCGCCGGGTTTGCACTGGGATGCAGTTGCTATGATGTTTCTGATAGGCTGTGATGTTTCTACTGGTGGCTGGTTATGGCTAGTTGCTGGTGTTGTGGACTGAACAGTAGAGCAGTCAGTGGAGTGTTCCAGTTGCTGGTGCTGTGATGTCTGGTTGCTATGTTTGGTGGGGGCTAGGGTTAAGGTTAGTGGCTCTGATACCAACTAGAAATATTTGTAAGTGAATGAGATACTCAAACTAAGAGTAGAGCCCCATATATATAGTCAAATAATAATACAAAGTAACTTAAACATCCTTGTAGTCTAGGCAAAATATAAAGTCATAATAAAGGTTAAAAAGGGAAAAGAAACCCTAATAAATTAGACTATACTCCAACAATAACCGAGTAGAACTCTTGTATGGTCTTATCACTCTGACGTGCAGCTCGAATTTCATGCTCTAGTTGATATCTCTTTGCAAAATTAGACTGAACAAACGATGTAGCCAAATAATCCCAAATCTCTTTGGCTGTGTTAAACTTAGTCAAATGCACACCAATGGTCTGATCAACTGAGTTGTTAATCTAAGTGATTATTTTAGCATTATTGACTTCCCAGGTATTCTTTAAGTCAGCATATTTCTCTGCCTTCGAATCTATTGGAGCTTGCAAAACACCATTAACATAACTCCACATTTCTTTCCCTAATAAGAAATTTTTCATAACATAAGACCAATATACATAATTTTCACCGTTTAATCTGACACTAATAGCCTGAAGAGAATTAGAATGTCCACTTGCCACAATGTTAACAAAGGTTAATGCTCTCAGCAAATTAATACCCAAAATAAAACAGAAAACAACAATAACAGCAACAATCCAACAACCCAACAATAATTTAGCAACCCTGCAACCCAACAAATTAAATCAATAAACAACCACAAAATATCAATCACAAACCAATCGGTGTACTGTGAAGGCAAGAGTCGGTTCACTGATGCATAGTAACAACACAAAATAGAATCACAAGATAGACCAAAAAGGGGCAGTCGGTGCACTGTGAGGCAGTCGGTGCAAAAGGAGGGCAGTTGGTGCACTGTGAGGAGGAGAATAGTCACCGAAACCCAGAAAACAATCAGTCGATGCACTGTGAGGAGGAAAACAACCACCGAAACCTAGAAGACAGACCATCGAAATACCTCAAATCATACAAATCTCATCCCAAAACAATTAATTTGCCTTGAATCATTCAGATGAACATTCAACACTCTTAGTCGCACCTCTCTTGGCTGATTGGAACCAAAAATTTTGGCCGAAGGTGTCGGATATAACAGATCGAAGAGTCTATACATATTTTCCCAAAAATATTGAAAAAATTGAAACCCTTACCAGATGAACTCGAAACAAAAAGGAAGCACACCAATGAGAAGCCCATGAAAAGTCGATCCTGATGGTGGTATTCACGGTTGGAGACTGATGACGTTATCGCCGACAATGTTGACGTCAGTACTGTTCATCATCGGTTCACGTCGAGTTCACCAGGTTTGTTCACGTCGAGTTCACAGGTATTCTTCTATACTTCAATCATAAATTATTATTTGGGCTTAAAGATCAAAGCTCTGATACCATGTTAATATTTATCAATGAAAGAGGAAAAAGAATATTCATTAAGAGTAACCGGAGTATTACGGACTAATTGAGAAGATAAACTAATATGTACTAGGGCAAAATATAATAATGTAAATGACTAATCTACCCCTAAAGCTAATATACTAAATTACTCTAACACTCATTTGTGTATTTCTGATACCGACTCTGGCTTGTTTTCCTTTATATTCTGACCCCACAAGGAGAGGATATATATAGCAAGGCTCAAGCGATCAATTACTTTTTCATTCAAAACATTTTTTGAGGCATTAATAAATAAATTGTTGTACTTTTCCTTCACAATCATATCCCGTATCCAAAATCCAAGGTAGATACCTAACATGGAGGGTCTGAAAAGTGTTTGCCAGCTGCCAAAATCAAATAAATTCACTTTCACATTATGGACATGTCTAGGTTCTCTCACATGCATCATGCTCTTCCAGGCGTTCGAAAATACCAGTATGTGCAATGGGTATGGCTCCTGAATAGAAATGCATGCTACATAAGCTGAAAAAGATGATGGAGCAGTGGGAAAACACTGAAATTCTATGACGTAGCCCACAAAGAAGTGTTAAATAGAGTGAAGTCAGGAACATGTATTGATATCTGGCCCCAGAGGAGTAATAGAACTGAGATCAGTGGAGTTGAAGTGCCAATATGGCTAGGATCACATGGAAGATCAAACACGTAATTTTTTGTAAATACAGACTCTATAGTTAACAGTACTTCATGATGAAAATAAGAACTCACAAATAAGATGTAGTAACTAATAAGCAAGAACACAATTTGAAGGAGTAAACTTTTAACTTTTTCCTTGTCCCCCCCCCCCCTCCCCCAAAAAAAAAAAAAAACAAAACAAAACAAAAATTGAGCATCAGGAAGCTAACGACACAAAAGCTTGTCAGACATTGTTTCCACAACAGTAGTTGCAATGGCTCATTTTCACTAACATTGCCGCCCAAGTCCCAATATCCAGATGGCAGAGTGTAATGACACAATATTTTTGATGCCATAATCCTATCATTCAACACTTGAATCTTAACCCACTTAGCAAGAAGCAAATAACAGAATTAATTTATTTGATCGTTTAGGAACACAGCAACATGGTGTTATGTCTCAAAGCTAGCTAATGCACACTAAAAAAATTTAGCAGTAATGACTTGCAAATTAATACCACATGGTAGATCCATTGCATTTGGTAAAGTTTATGCAGTCTTACCAATGGGGTCAGGCAGATTAAGATGTCCCCGAAGGCCATCAATTCCTGCAGCAATTACAGCAGCCAGGCCCAAGTATGGATTTGCACACCCATCAAATGCTTTAATCTCAAAGTTGCTCACAACATCATCCATAACTCCAGGTGGGCATGCCGTTCTCAATGGAGCCTCTCTGTTTTCTTTTCCCCAACACTTGTATGCTCCACTCCAAGTATTGGGTTGTATGCGATCATAACTATAAAGTGAATAACAATTGTACAGAGAAATTAGAGATCAAAGATGAATTTTTTTGTCCACAATTTGTGTAAGATAAAGTTCAGAAAAAACAATAACGTTTAGAACACATCCGATTTCCCCCCTTGCAACCTTAAAAAAATGGAAATAAGAATTAAAGAGAAGACTCCCAAATAATTTTGATCAGGACTAGAGTGAATGTAGAAAAAAAAAATGTAACTCTTAATGGAGAAAAGCATTACCAAATTTTTATTTAATATTTAGAACGTGATTTCTTCATATGAGGGTAGCTAGTCCTTTTGAATCATCATCACGATCATTAATGGTAGGGTGTGTGAATAAAACGTATGTATAAACTAAAACGGAGTGCAGTGAAGTTTTAGATGATGCAGAGGTGCAACTCCAAAGGGGTGTGAATGAAGTTTTCGCTAAAGAACAACACATTTCTTTATTTTCAATACGTTCTAGGATATGGGCATCCAAGAAGAATACACCCTATCTCTTGATAAAAATTACTTCTAAGCAAACAAGCCAATTAAATTTTGTTTCAGTTTCTTTAACAGTCACACTTACGTTGCCGATATACCATGATGAGACAGTTTATACTTCTTCTAAGTAAGTGTTGTTTATTTTTTTTTTGCAAATTTTTAAGGAATTTACAGTAAATTACAATCATTAAATTGCCATGTACTAAAAACGATCGAAGAATATATTTTATTGGAGAGAGATTCTTGCTGTACATTTATCCGACTTTCCTAGTTTTGTCTATACCACATCATACTTATATTCCATATTCGTTCTGCATCTGTGCTTCCTGCAGTATAACATATAAATATACATATCTCAATTTTATATTTTGCATATGTGGTCTTGACAATAGGTTAAATGCATGCTATCATTCTAATATACTAAACTGAGTTAGCAGCCCATAATTTCTCATTAAATTACCATAAAAAACAACGAAACAATTATTGATTGTAAGAAATGAATTGATAACCTATTTGGAATTGGTGCTGTAAATGCCAAAATTGAAGGAAGATGGTTTAAAACCCCTGCCATGAACTCCTCCCCAACTTTGGACATTCCATAATGAGAAGATCCACCATATGCCATAAAAACGTTTTTTCCATTGTCCCATAAACTTACGTGCACATGCGATCCAGAGCCAATGTCATCAAGTGCGTACCTAGGCAGACAAGAAGGAATCAGCATCTCATATGACGAAAGCAGTAAACGTATTGTAGCTTCGGTGGGGCAAACTTTACAAAGCTGGAGGGTGAATAGATTTTAGTCATGTTAACATGAGCACAAAAACACCATGTACAATGTTGAAAGCAAGCCGTTATACCAATTTCAAGGATATCTAAAAGGATTATCACTAACACCTTTTATTTACAAGATTTATCCGAATCATGAAATGACATTAATATGTCACCAGTCTCAACAAGGATTTGCCAGTTTGGGAAACAGCACAGAATATGCTGGGCAGTGAATCTCCATTCCTCACTTACCCAACCCTCATTCTTTTCCGTCTGTAAAACCAAACATCAGAGGGGTTAATTCTGAGACTGATTTAACAGGCCATGGACTTGATTTTAAGATTCATTATTGCAGGAATGGAAAGGGGATGCAGTATGCAGTGGAGGAGAAATGGTGGTTATAGTTTAATGCAGCCTCAAATGAATATTTGATAAGGTCACGCACCAAAGATAAGTAGTGGTTAAGACGCTGCAATGAGGTTTCCCACCGCAATCATCACTTGTTCATAGTTTTTCTCATTCACCAAGAGGAAGCGAAAAAGAATGCAGCCCCACAAAAACTTAGAGTGTCTCATTGTTATCAATCAATAAGAGAAAAAAAAAAAAAAAGAAGATGGGAGCAAATCTGAAGGTACAAAAGTAAAACCAGTGATGCCTCATAAAGCAAATCATTTGGTAGTATGATGAGGTAAACAGGTGGAGAATCAGGAAGTTCTATTATAAGCAAGTAGTTTGGTAGGCGTTAGTTGTGGAAGAACAATAAAATGAACTGAGAAGATGACATGATGTGTGCTGTAAGAAGAGATTTTGAAATCTTCTGTTTTAACTACAAATCTGGATTTGGACCTGAGTGGGATATGAGTTTCTATAGCTGGGACAGTATACTTTTACTATCATTTTCTTTCCTAAATATCATCTAACGCGTTGTTCTGAAAACCACAGACTGCCACCTCTTACCAAAGGCACAGAAGCCTGAAAACGAAGTGAATCATATTGACAATTTTAACATTGATTGACAAAAAATGCCACTCATAACACATCCTGATTCTTCAGGAAAGAAGTTCCAGAATCAGATAAGCCTCCAAAATTCTGATAGGATACATTGCATAAAAATCTATATTTCATCACACTGACTTCACCAAGAAGTCACAAATTAGCAGATGCTCAAACTATCCAATTCTGTCCATTTGTTTACATTGCATAATGCAAAATAGCGCAGAACCACTTCAAAGAAAGTCGCTGCACCAGCCTGTTATGCTGGTTATTGAACATAAAGAAAGGCAAAATACGTGGGTAGATTTCCCTAATATAGAATAAAGAGAGAAATGAAACATAGACTTTCTTTGAGGTGTTATTATTACAATAGAAATTTCCTTTATATCTTTATCCATCAGACACACATATGTAGCACAAATGGCAAGCACAAAAAATCAACAGAGATCAGTGAGTATTACAGAATTGAATTATGAATTTCATGCAACTGATGGGGAGTATTTATAAAGAAAAACAAAGCAATGCCAGATTCAAGTAGCTCCAGTATAAAAGGAATAATGCCCGTTTACGCCTTCATGCAATTTGTTTCAATCTTTTGTCTGCATTAAAATTGTTTGTTCAGGCTAAAAAGAAAAATATGGATCAGCTCTGCAAGGGTGAGAAAGGAAACAATACAAGGAGAAGCAACATAATCTAAATACAAAGACCTGGGTTCAGGTCCTCCCACGATACTGAACACGTCACTCACTGAACCCTCAACATTGTCTTAAAAGAGAGAGAAAAAAATGATTTTTTATAATGGGTTTGGTCCTAAACTAAGATATCTATAACTTTTATAAATGTTCATAACAGAAGTTAGACTTTAATTCCGCTTAACCAGTTTGCGAGAGATGAAGTGAGCTATCGATGCACTATAACGGGTGAGAAGCCTCAGTATACAGACTACAATGCATTCACACACTATCAGCATGAATCTCTCAAAAATAATGATCTCAGACCTAACTTCCATTCCATACATTCACTACCAGCAAAATTGTACCATCTTACCACGTGTAATGAAAGCTACGTCAAATAGAAGTAATATGCTGCACAGTTCAAGCAGTTAAAAAAAAACCTTAAACTTGCTAATCAGATGAGAGCTTGGCGTTTCTTAAATGAGGTAACACATATCTAATAAATTCAGGATATGTACATATACAGCAGATGCAGAGGATTTGATGGATTTTTTTTCCCTGTGGAACTATGTCGCAGTATAACACGTGGATTAATTAAACATTTAATCCATAACAGTCCCACCAGATGGATGCTGAATTGAAACTTAAATAATTCTAAATATTCCATCCAAACATCCACCTATTTTAAAGAAAGGCTGTTCAGTGCTGGGATAGGTACATTGGATACAAATCTAGCCTCTGGTGTTCTTTGTACAAAGTGATTGGTCTCAAATTTGAACCCACATTCTTAACGTTCTGAGTCAAGCACTAGGCTTGCTTCCCCTCCTACCCAAAGTTTTCAAAACCAATAGGAAAATAATACCTCTCATTGCATGAAATAAAGCATGTGCATATCATATTTCAAAAAAAGCTATACCTACTTTGGCACAAAAGTAGCCAACAATCCATATTTCCTTGCAACAGCCCTGATAACTTCGCGCGTGAATATCAAGTTGTTAGCAGCAACAGTACACTCTGTGTACCCCAGTGCCAATTCAAACTGACCTTTCCCTGCTTCTGCATGTAGCTACAGAATTTCAAAGGATAAAGTGAATAACAACCATATTACTTCAATTGCAGAGTACCAGAATTATTATTTTTTTAGGGGGGGAGGGGGAGGAGACAGTTCTTAGGACAAGGAAACTGAACATGAGTCATGACAGCATGCAAGAGTAGCATTTGAAATATCATGTGCTATGTTGTTGTGTCGGTATGCACAAACTCAGATATACATTACCAAATATTACACCGGTATGTTGTGAGCATAGAAAAATTTGAATCCACCGCTCAATATGCTTATGCTTAGACAAATACATGTGCACGTACTGTGTGGGAATACAAGAAGTGAATTAGGCGGCATTCAAATTCACCAAACGAACAACAGAAACTTAAAACAGTGAGAATATCACTATCTTAAAGATAAGACAGATCTAAATGCAAATGATGGGAAGATATAGAAGTCTTCCACCTACAACCCATGCAAAATGATAGCAAACAAGGATTTGCATAGCACAAAGATTAGATACATACATGGACTACATTATGACAATGAAATTACACTTCAACAGCAAATAACTTAATATATCCAATGCAATTATCTACACAATCATTATGTTCTTTACTACCTGTTCCACTGTAATATTCAAGGACTCGAGAGCAGCTACAACTTCATGAAGTAAAGGAGAAGCAGCATCAAATGAGGACGTAGAGCAGTATGGTGTAGTGTCAAAAGGTACCCATTCCTCTTTCCCCTCCCTGCTTAGTTTTTATGAATGATAATTAGCCATCATGCAGATGAAAAACTCAAAGTAAAAGAAAACGTGGAGACAATTGCATGGCATACCTTAGCACACTCTTTAAGAGGAAAAACTCAATTTCAAATCCTGCGTTCATTACCTGGACAAGTAGCATTTGGAAATTCACCAATCAAGGTATTTCACACATTAGACATAAACTATCTGACATACCAAGTTAAATTCATCTTTCAAAACTTTGGAAACTCTGCGTAAAGCTTCTTTTGGGCAATATTCCCATGCTTCGCCAGGTTTAAGATACATATCAGCCAAAACCATTTCCTCTTGTGTTGCCCTGTGGAGAAAAAGAAATATAACCAGCAGGGTAACAAACAAATGTACTCCTCATCAAATAATTTCAGATAATCTGCACTGAATTATGTGCATGCTAGGTGAATATTGACTGACAAATGTAACATGTGGAAACGAGTATATAGACCGACTTATGTTAACAGATGAATAGTACATGTGAGGAGAGCTTGTATGGCCGAAAGGTTTAAGTACATCAAAGGTTGACTTATATGCTCGAAAGACCACTCCACTCATAGCCACTTGGTTTTGGTTGGATGCTTTAACATATGTATCATTACTCCCATTTCCATTTTACATTGCATCTTTGGAGTTCTACACAATGTTTTGTAAAGAGCCTCCACTAGCTAAAATACAATGCAATATCTAGGCGTGAGATAAAAGAAGGGAAAGATGAAGCCACAACCAACTTTTTTGTTTGCAACTGAACTGAACACACATCAAGCACTGGCTGGCATAAAGACAAACTTATACTGAAGCAGATTACGATGCTTTGTAAAGAAAACAAATCTTCTTGCAATTTAAATTCAAAAAAGTCAAACTATCTCTACACTTTCCAATCACAATCTGAATGTTGTCTCATTTTCAGTTAGCCATCGCCTGTTGTTTTCTCAGTTCTGTACATCTGATTCCCCTTCCATCTTATAAATCAGATTGTCTTACATAAAAGATAAGACTACAAATTCAATTACGAAAGGACTATGCAACTCGCCCTTATAATGTGTTACCATCATACATTTGTATTTTGGCATCATACTTATGAAACTAAGACGTTAATCAGAAGTAGACCAATGCCTTGTTATTGCTTCAACTATCATTGTAACCCCCATCGAGTTGATGTCATTTTAAATCCTCTTTATTACAGGGGTCAAATGGATATGAGCACTGCCCAACGTTCCATTTTCATTCCTCAAGACTTGGACACCAGGATTAAATGTAAGTGAAATTAAAAATATAGGGCGGGGAAAATGAAACCCAGAAAAAGAACACAAAAGACAAATAGAAACATGCCACACTCCAGAGTACTAGTGTTTTCATTCTAAAAGAAATGCAGTACCATGGAATTCTGCATTTGGTTGATAAATCAGGTATCAGTCTGATCTCACCCACTGCACTCAGATTAGTCCCAACAGCAGGACCATCAGTTGCTGAACTCATTGCCATACAAGCTACAGTTAAACCAACACCATTTTTCTTAACGGAATCTTTGAAGCGTTTTTCTGGAATAACCTGCAACAATGATACACAAGCACTGAACTTAAACCATGTGATTTCTGCAGTTCTTCTAACCAAAATCACAGAATTCCCAAAAAAACATAAAAAAATCAAAGTGATCTAGCATAGAATTCAATCTATCTCAAATGTAAATCTATTATCTAAAATAGTAACAATAAACGAAAAACAAGCTGACAGAGGATCATAAACCTCTTGCTTCATCTATGCCCTGTGAAAGCTGAAGAACATGAAAAATATTATCAAAAAATCTAGAATATCTACATTGACTGACAAATAAACTAGTGCATAACATCATTATGAGAATAAATCAAGCAGCAATAGCTATCTTGTTCTTTCTCATCACATCAAAACAAATACAACAGAATAAAATACATTCATTTCATTCTCAAAATGGGCTGGCAACTCACAATTATAATCACAATGGTATCGCAGGTAAGCAATATCAAGATGGATGAGGAATGTATAACCATGTGATTACCCCAAAAGTAGAGTTCCAAATATAGAAAGGAAGCCACATCCTTTCATGTTGAAATATTATAATATACCATCAACCTAGAATCATTTTTTCTTGATGTTATGAGAGTTGATGATGATTTCCATCATATATACCTAAAAAAGCTTTAGTTATTCTTACTTGGTGGAAGTTATCTTCCATCCTGGAATTCACAGAATAATGGTACTTAGTACTGACAAACTGCATAACAACAATTTGAGATTCCAAAATGATTGAAAATATAAGAATAATAAACAGAAAAAAGAACTTACACGGCACCTGTGCTGTCCAGAAGCATCAACCCAAACAAGGCGAACAAGCACGACATCTCTTTGCGGGGTGTTAGTCTCTATCTTCACAAAATTGGGAGATATGACGTTTTTTGAATCAAAAGATTTTACAGCAACATTAATCTTGTAAAATCGTTTTGCATTTTCCGCAAAAATATCTTTAGCTGCATCAAGAGCTTCAGTAATTGAAAGATCTCCATCAACACATGCATCATGTAGAACAGAAAAGACAACTTCACGTGCTTTTTTTGCTCCTGTTAAAAAAATAAAAGTAAAAATTAGAAACATGGTACTACAGCAAGAAGCTCTATTTTGAATTCACTTGTAGCTAATATGTATACGCAGTAAGAAGTTCCTGTAAACCAGCATTTGCTGTTGAACTTCATGACTTCTATTTTCTAATATTCAAAATTTATAGCTGAAAGACTCGTCATCATCAACAAAGACTTGTTCCAACTTCCTCCTACTTGTGGTCCAATAAATGGTTCTTGCCTCACAAATTTGCTTCTATCTAGGGGCATAGCATCTGTTGAACCACAAGCTACCATAAGTTCTGTTAGAATGGGTATTCTAATAATAAGTATACTCCAAAGGGGTATATTGGTCTTTGATTAAAGCATAAATATGATATATACATTGAGGGCGAGAAGGCTGGGCAAGAAACCCTCTCTCTGTTTTTCCTTCCTCTCAAATTCTCTCTCTTCTCTCTTCTTCTAATCCTAAATCTCTAACTCACACTTTATTCATTATCTCAAACCACATTAATTTGGTCTTCCCCTTCCCCGTGTGTTAACATAATGGTTACCACAAAATGTCTGGGAAAGGCTTGTTATCTTTTGCTTGTTCAGGTTGCCCATTACTTTTCTCAACATCAAGTTACTTCAAAGTATCACAATAATAGGATAAATGACCGCTCACAGAACTTTTTTTTGAGAAGTCTTGGTGATGACTTTTAAGATATGGCCAATGGTAAGTTGACAAAAAAGACACTCAAAAATTCTGCCAAATGGCAAGACCAATAACTAACACGCTTGAAAACAAAAGCATAAGTTGGAGTAAATAGTTCCCAACAGATACAAAAAACCAGGCATTACACGGATTGAGATAGTGAGGAAATTACCTAATATGGTTTCCACTTGCCAGAATATGATATCAAATACAGAAGAACTATTAAATCATATATCTGACTGACCTGAACAGCTCTGATGAAGACAATGTTGTATATACACTTTACTACTGCTACTATATCATTCTTGTCCTTCTAAATGACAATCAAGAGGACAGCATATGATTTCACATAGATGCAAAAAACTTGCACTTCGAATTGTGAAAACTATTCTACCAAAAGATGCCATAGATTCCAGTCTTGCCATATTTTATATGATTAGTGTTAATCAGGCATCTACTCTAAAATTAGAGAGGGTGCCATTTAAGTATTTATACTTCGACACACCCCTCATGTGGCAGGCTAGATTTTGGGCCTAACACGTCGAAATCATTTAATTGTCGGGAGTGGCAGCGAGATTTGAGGAACAGGATCTCCTGCTCTGATACCATGTTGGACACCCATTTACTCTAAAAACGTAAGCAATTAGAGAGGGCGTAATTAAGTATTTGTACTTCAACAACTACATATGTGCAAAAAGCTATTATTTTTCTTATGAAACTCATCAGAATATATACTCAAACGGAAATTTCATTTGAGAAGTGGTATTACTACTATTCATTTCTTTTAAGCACAGTCTTGTTCAGATAGCGTGGTCTGTGTGTTATCCAAGTAACAATTTATTAAACTTGATGGAGAAATATTTTGGCTCCATCAAACATAAGCACAACAATAATTTGCAAAAATATCAATTGTACTTTAGAGGTACAAATATGATCTCTGACCAACTATATAAATGCATTACTGTGTGCATAGCCTTCAGTATGCAACTTTCCAGAAAAACTAGTATTTTCACATGATATGTATTAAGCCCCCGAACAAATTAACAATATAAAAGAGATGGCCTTACTAATCACTTTGACCAACCTAGGTAGAAAGTTTCAGGAAAAGCGCAGCCATCAGTGCTGAACATCACCTGCATATTGCATTTTTATATAAATCAAATGGGAAACTTAAACAATTCCACAACACAATGAATTCAAGGGCTTGATCCTATCTTGTAGTAAAACAAATCAGTAAAGATAAAGAACACAACACAAACCATTATTCCCATGCCCCCTCATAGCAACATATTTAATTTAGATATGAAAGATATGAACCCACCAAGAATATTAATAATTAAAGAATTAATTTGACAATGTAACCACAAGAAGATAGATTCATCTTTAGATTTTTAACATAGCATTGACATGTTTACATTTCTTTAAATATTTCTATTGATTCTCAACATAGTATTGACGTGTTTCGTTTCTCTAAAATATACTGATTCAAGAAAACATTTGGGGTCCAGCATGTTTAGTTTTTGAATTTGTTTACGTCTAATATTATTTTAAAGCCTATAAAGGGAATCATATGACTAAGAATTGAAAAAAAAAATTAGAGAGCCTTAAATTGGA